AGAATTATTTCGAGAATTTACGGTATCAATCTAATTACTAAATAAAATGACACTAGCATCTTATAAGTTTAATCCGTTATTTCTAATCAATTATTAGGATCAGTCTAGAAAGCTGCTGTACTGTATAAAAAATCTGAATTTATGTTCCTAATTTTGCGCGATAGCTACATTATGACACTTTGCGCGATAGCTACATTATGACACTTTGCTAAATTCGGCTCAACAATAAGACGAATTTTGCTTCCAATATATAGTCAATCATAAAAATGTGTGACGTTCAATTTGCTCTTATTACATATCACTATTATTTACTGTATTAGTAAAAAAGAAAGTGCACTATGCAATGGAATATTAATGATATGTTTAAAACATTCTAACAAATATACAAGAAGCTAATAAAATCAAAAAAAAAGCACATATCAATCTAAAATCTCAGAAATTTTACCCGATCGTTAAAATTCATGTGGCCATCCTTCCGCAAAGAATGAAATAGTAATGGCGCAAAAATTTAGCGGTACAGTGACCTCCGAGCTGATCGATACTCTAAATTAAGAGGCTTTACAAAATTTTAATAAGTACGGTGACATACAGTTACTGTGGCATATATTTTCTTGATGGGATAAAATGCTCAATCATGTGCACGCATAAAACCCATCTCTAGCTTTACCTTTTCGCCTCACGCACTTTCGTTTGTCATGAGGTTAGGTTTATTTCGCCATTTTATGAAAATAATTTCGTCTTACAGCTCTAACCCTACTCTTAGAAACGTAAAATATTGTATTACTACCTAACATTAAGGCAAATAAATATCTATAAACAAATAAATATAGCATGACTTTAACAGGTTTATTAACACAATGCTTCAAAAGTTTCGTAAAAATTAAAACGTGAATTACAGTACAAGTAGCGATGTTACCCAAACTATTTGGGACATCCCAAACTATGTGATGAATAATATCGCATCAAGTATTTACGTACGTACGTACGTACCTCTGAAATCGTATGATGTTATTCATCACATAGTTTGGACGTCCCAAATAGTTTGGGTAGCATCTCTAAGTACAAGACAGATATGCATAGAAGGTTGTGAACATTACGTAATTCAAGTGACTTTAATTCATATATATATAGATTAATGAAAATCCGCTTGCGTTTCGTAAAAAAGATTTGTCATTACTATTATTTAAAGATAATTGAAATTTTGTGCGTCCGTTCTTAAACTATAATCAACCTAGCTTATGACCTCTACCGCAGCCAAAGTTCTCAAGACCTCTACTGCAGCCGAAGTTCTCAAGAACTATATTCCAGCCGAAGTTTTTAAAGCTGCTGTTGGTGATATATTTTCTGTTTATGTTCCTTTAACCGGTTCAGTGAAAATACTAGTTGGGGAAATTTATCAAATTTATGAGGATGCAGAATGTAATAAAGAAATTTGCCAAATTATGGTTGAAAGAGCAAAAGCAGCTGAACTTGCTATGAATGTAATGGTTAGAAGTATTGATAAAAATGAGGAAAATCTTCGTGAAAAATCATATTATTTCGCCCTTCAAAGATTCGTAAATATTTTAACTCAAATCAAATACTTTACTAGGGAAATATCAAAACTTAAAGGCTATAAAAGATTTATTAATGCTGCAGATGTTAAAAAGAAATATGAACAATTGACAAGTGACTTTGATAGGTGCATGAATGAACTACGCTTCGCTGTTGATTTTACAGATAAAAGAGAAGAATCTGAAAGGGTTGACAAAACTTTAAAAGAATTTGATGAAGTAAGTTATTCATTTGCAAATATAACTAACACTACTAGATTAATTTCAATTGTTAATAAATATCCATTTTAGACACTCCAACAACTTGATGATAAAATTGATGGAATAGTTAAAAGTATAGACTTTATGAAATCGCAAATGAGTAAGAAAGGTGATTTCCAGGTGAATAAGATTGATCCAAGTGAAATAATCGGTCCTTATGGTGATGTCAATGCGAATAAGATTGATCCGAGCGAAATAATCGATCCTTATCCTTATCCTCTTGTCAAGAAGATTTATAAAGGCAA